CAACGAAATAGGCACTTTGCTAGCAGGACATTTACCCCCAACGCACACACAACGCGCGCACGTATCATGAACGGTGTACGTGGAAAAGTCACGCGTGTGTGTCTGTACGTGTGTACGCAGTTGACACGCTCATGCATACACACGTTGGTGTTCTTACACACACACACAAATACACAAATATAAACACGTACACACGCTGGCGTTCTTACACACAGACACACAAATACACAAATATAAACACGTACACACGCTGGTGTTCATACACACACACAAATACACAAATATAAACACGTTCACACGCTGGCGTTCTTACACACACCCACACAAATACACAAATATAAACACGTACACACGCTGGTGTTCTTACACACAGACACACAAATACACAAATATAAACACGTACACATGTGGTTGTTCTTACACACACACACACAAATACACAAATATAAACACGTACACACGCTGGTGTTCTTACACACACACAAATACACAAATATAAACACGTACACATGTTGGTGTTCTTACACACAGACACACAAATACACAAATATAAACACGTACACATGTTGTTGTTCTTACACACACACACACAAATACACAAATATAAACACGTCCACACGTTGGTGTTCTTACACACACATACAAATACACAAATATAAACACGTACACACGCTGGTGTTCATACACACACAAATACACAAATACACAAATATAAACACGTACACACGTTGGTGTTCTTACACACACACAAATACACAAATATAAACACGTACACATGTTGTTCTTACACACACAAATACACAAATATAAACACGTACACATGTTGTTCTTACACACAGACACACAAATACACAAATATAAACACGTACACACGGTGTTGTTCATGCACACACACACATACACAAATATAAACACGTACACACGCTGGTGTTCATACACACACACACAAATACACAAATATAAACACGTACACACGGTGTTCTTACACACACACAAATACACAAATATAAACACATACACACGTAAACAAAACTAAGACAAAGATCCCCCGTATAGACATAACAACCTGGAGGGGCAAGTGCTGTTCGCGAGTAGCACCTAACGAAAGCCCGAGACGGCACCCGAGTGCCTTAGGGGTGGCCAGCACCACTCCTGGCCGCCTTTGTCTCCCCCCCCCCCCCGTGTAGACTTTGTCGCACTGTTGTATGCAAGCGTCGTGAGCGAGCAGCTTTTGAGGCCATTCGGGCAGCGGTGTGACGAGAACCACGCCCTGGCCGCCTTTGTCTTCCCAAATGCTGACGTTTGCAACACCGCACCGGGGAACTACTTTAAGGCTGAGTCGACCTAGGGAAGGTTCTAACTTGGTTCTGATGTCACTTGTCACCGATGATAGCCGTGAATAATGAACTCGGCTTTCCCGGGTCGAAGCGCGCCGCTCTAACCAATGCGCCACCGCTCACCCAAACACGTTAAAAAAAAAAACACGTGCACATCAAACAAAGATCCCCCGTGTAGCCTGGAACGGACTTTTGGGGCAAGTGCTGTCAGCGAGCAGCACCCATGAAGGGCCAACGCGGCGCACGCGCATATACACGTACATACAAAGATCCCCCATATAGCCTTAACAGACTGTAGGGGCAAGTGTTGTTAGCGAGCACCTATGAAGGCGTGCATACACACACACGTACATACACACACGTACATACACACACACAAACACACACACGTACATACACACACGTACACACACACGTACATACACATTTACATACACACACACGTACATACACACACACACGCGTACATTCAGACACGTACACACACGCACGCGACTACACATAACAACATACTCAATAACACAATAACACACTCACACGCGAATGCACAGGCAAATTCATACGCATCCACCCATGCGTGCAAACACAAACACACGGAGATACAAACACGTACAACAACATACACAACAAAAGATCTCCCGTGTAGCCTGTAACAAACTGCTAGGGGCAAGTGCTGTTAGCGAGCACCTATGAAGGCCGGCACGGCACGCGAGGGGATGGGTGGCCAGCACCACGCCCGGCCGCCTTTGTCTCACTCGTGGCGATGTTTATACATCGCACCGGGTACTGAGGCTGAGTCGACCTAGGGGAGGCCCAGGACCGGTTCCGATAATCGTCACTGGTGTTGGCCGTGAGAGGGAGTCGCGTTGCGCAGCGTAGCGCGAACCGCTACACCACCGATCCCCACACAACAACATAAACACACACACAAACACCAACAGACATACGTACACACAAACACACTCGCGCAAGCACGCAACAATAACTAAGACAAAGATCTCCCGTACACCCTTAACAAACTGCTAGGGGCAAGTGCTGTTAGCGAGCACCTATGAAGGCCGGTACGGTACACGAGGGGGTTGGGCCAACACCACGCCCGTCAGCCTTTGTCTCCCCAGTGGCGGTGTTGGCCGTGAACGGGAATCGAACTCGCGTCGCCGGGCGCGGTATTGCAGCGCGCTAATCACTGCGCCACCGCTCCCCACGTACGCTAACACTTACATGAAACGCACATGCACACTCATACGTACAGACGCACGCAATACATGCATGCATACAGAAACACACTCACACGCACGTACAAATGTGCACAGACACACGGAAACACGACCCCCTCCGCGCAACGCATTAGAGACACAAAAACTTGACCCTACAAACACACACACCAATACAGATATGCCTAACAAACACATACATACACATAAATACACACAAACGCATGCACACACAAAACACAACACACACACCAATACACAGACAAAACCCATCACACCAACACACAAAGATCCCCGTGTAGCCTTAACAGACTGTTGGGGCAAGTGCTGTTAGCGAGCACCTATGAAAGCCCGCACGGCACACGAGGGGGTGGGTGGCCAGCACCACACACCAATACACATACAGTACATACAAACACGCATACACTGTGATACACGAATACATTCGTCAAAACACACGAACGCACACACAGACAGTATAATCATCATCATCATACACACATTCAAATAAAAATACGCACCAACATCAACACGCACAAACACGCACGTTCACACACTCGCAAATACACACGTAGACACAAATGTATATGTGTTAAACACGCACACACGTGCACAAAGACAACACACACAAAACGCACAAACATATACACACACACAAACACGCATGCGTACACACACAAACAGATCAAATACAAATATCCCCCATATAGCCTGAACATACTTTTGGGGCAATTGTTGTTTAGCGAGCACACAACACGCACATGCACAAAGACAAACACACACAAAACAAACTAACACAAACACACACACACATCAACATACACACACACACAGAAACGCATTCAAACACACGTTCGCACAAACCGTACACACAAACACCAACACACAAACACACGCATTCAAACACACGTTCGCACAAACCGTACACACAAACACCAACACACGCATTCAAACACACACACACACATTGGGAAAGAACACGCGAACACGCAAACACGACCGATAAAACACGGTCGCTAATTCAAAAACACCTTCTCACACACACACACGCATTAATAAAAAGCAAATCTGCAAACATCACAATAACAACAACCGCCATTCGACACTAAGTGGCGGAGACGTCACCACGGCCCTTGTGCCAGGCTATGTGCACGTTGAGGCCACACAATGAACACACGCACAAACACAGCACCAACACACTTTCGCACAAACACAGCACCAACATTCTCACACGCAAACACAAGTTCGCGCACATGGAGATGAACACCCCAACGACAAACTTTCACACGCGAACCTTAACATACAAACACATTTTCACGGACACACACACACGGACAAAAAAGATGCCCCCGTATAGCCTGAACATACTTTTGGGACAAGTGCTGTTAGCGAGCACCTATGAAGGCCGGCACTGCATACGAAGTGGGTGTGGGTGGCCAGCACCACTCCCGACCGCCTTTGTCTCCCCTGTGGCGATGTTTACACAACGCACTCGGTACTTAGTCGAGGCTGAGTCGACCTAGGGGAAGCCCGGGACCGAGCCAGGTTCGTAGCCCAGGGCGTTAACCACTATACCTCTGCTCCGAGCCCACGAACACACAAGCACACACAAAACAATCACATGCGCGAAACACACACATTAAGACACAAGTTCACATGAACACAAACACACGTTCACACTCACGTTCATACACGCACAATCACACACACATTGAAACACGTACACACACACATGCGTTCACGCACAAACATGCGTTCACACAAACATACAAATACACGCGTAAACCACATTTCAAACACTTTCACGCGTGTACAGAAACACGCGCACGCGTTCACGCACGCACACCCATTGAAACTCACGTTAACAAACACAAAAACACGTTCACGCACACACACACATATAAACACACGTTCACACGCATACAAACACAAGTTCACACACACATACACACACACGTTCACACACAAAAACACACGTTCACATAAACACACACACATACAAACACACTTTCACACACACATGCAAACACACGTTAACGCACAAACACACGTTCACACACACACATACGAACACACGTTCACACACACCAACACACATACATACAAGCACACGTTCACACGCACAAACACATGTTAATACACACAAACACACTTTAACAAACACACACAAACACACGTTCACACACAAACACATGCACACATTGAAACACCCCTTCACACACACACACGTCACACACACACAAAGATCCCCCCATAGCCTTAGCAGACTTTAGGAGCCAGTGCTGTTAGCGAGCACCTATGAAGGCCGGCACGGCATACGAGGTAGCGGAGTGGGGGGGGGAAGGTCACACACATTGAAACACAAGTTCACATTAACACACACACACGCAGACGCGACGACATACGCACGCGCGCGCGCGGGTACTGAACCCCGGCTCGTTGTCCTTACCGGACGAGGGGCGATCCGAGTAGCGGGTACAATAAACCCACGCGGGCCACGCCATCGCCTGCTGCTGCTGCTGCTGCTGCAGCTGCAGATCAACTCCAGGACTGCCTGATGCTCCTCCAGCTGCCCCTCCTGCTGCCCCTCCTGCTGCCCCCAGCCCGCCCGCGTTGGGAAGGGTCCCCATTTCCAGCGCGCGCTCCGCTGTCGCTCCTCCGTCCGCCTTGGCTCCGGGCTTCGCTCGAGACTTGGCCAAGCCCCCCAGCCCCTTGCGATGCAAGCGGCCGCTGCAGGGATTCGTTTGTCCGTCCAAACTGAAAGCGCCGCCACCACCGCCGCCACCGCCTCCTTGTCCGAGCTCGCGGATGATGATCGCGTTTCTTCCTCGACTGCCTCCTCCACCACCACTACCACCTCCACCACCACCGACGCTAAGAACGTCGTCGTCCTCATCCTCGTCATCGCCGTCGCCGTCATCGCCGTCGTGAGCGCGGTCGTCCGCGTGGTCGCCATTGCGCCGAGTCCTCTCCGGGGAGCGACTGCTGGACGAAGCGCTGTCTCCTCCTCCTGCTCCACCACCACCACCGCCGCCGCCACCACCGCCACCACCTCCGAGGCTCGCCTCGCCCCGCCTGCTCGTCGACAGCGGCCTCGGCGGCAGGAGAAGCGCGCGGCCGCCGGGCTCTTTGCGCCGCCCAAAGTCCGGCCTTAGGATGTTCTCGATGAAGAAGTTGGTGAGTCGGCTTGGGGGGGGCACGGCATGAGGGGGGCCGGCTGCTGCTGCTGCGGCTGCTGCGACTACGGCGACAGCGGCTGCAGGAGGAGCAATCGGCTGATGGGCGGCAGCAGCGGCGATCTCCAAGGGTGGCGAAGCCGGCGGTGGTGGAGGTGGTGGTGGTGGCGGCGGCGGCGGTGGTGGTGGCGAAGATGATGACGAGGAGGAGGAGGATGAAGAGGAGCTTGAGACACGGGAGTCGGGGTCCCGGGTGCGATTGTCTTCCGTGCTCACGCCGTTATCCATGGGGGTCGCTCCTCCAGGAGCTGCGCGCCAGGCGGGAGTCTGGAGGAGCAGGACTCCCTCCTCCACCGGCCCCCGCCTCCTCCACCCCTCCACCTCCCCCCTCGCTACAGCCTCCCCCTGTCGCCACTGGTTACACTTTGTATCCCTCCTCTCTCTCGCTCCTCTCTCGCTCCTCTCTCCCTCCTCTCTCTCGTTCTCGCCGTGCGAGCCCTCGCCTCGGTCCGTTTCTCTTCCTCCGCTGTCGTGTGCCCGCGCCCTGCCCGATCTCCCCGCGCGCTCTCCCGCTCGTTCGCTCGCTCTCTCGCCCTCGCCCTCCTCACCGACGACCCACAACAATCAGCGGCAGGAGCAGACGCAAATCAGCTGCGGCCACCACCAACACCACAACCACCACCAACAACAACAACAGCAGCAACAGCAGCAGCAGATGTTGACGCTGCAACGTGGGGATGGCAGAGAAGCGCGGCGACTTGCCACGGGTGCAGCCGCCGCCGACGGCGGAGATGGCAGCTTGCGCCGATGTGGGGTTCCGTTCTTGGTGCTGATGCTGTTGCTGCTGATGCTGATGTTGCTGCTAATGTTGCTGCCGCTATGGCGGCGATAGCGGTGGCAGCAGCAGCAACAGCGGCGGCGGCGTCGTCGCTGTGAGAGAAGGACGCGGCGTAGGGGTGAAGGAGAGAGAGAGAGAGAATCCTTCTCGATGGGATGGCTTTGCCCCAACCGCGATGCGCGATTACGGGGAGGAGGAGGAGGAGGCGGAGGAAGAGGAGGATGAGGAGGATGAGGAGGCGAATCTCATCATCGTGGCGCGTGAGCCCTGCGGCGCGCGTTCCAGTTCAGGCAGTTCGCCGCGAATTCATTCCGCACGTCTCCGGCGTTCACTCACGAGCAGCGGAGCAGCGGAACAGCACCCCCACCGGCCCGCGTACCCACTCCACCGCGAGGCTAACCCGACCCGGCACGCCAGTCACCACGATCCAAATCGTGCACTTTTACTCGGCCGAAATGAATGCCCTGCCCACCACCACCACCATCACAACCCCCAAGATGCAAACTGTTGTTACGACTACGACCACTTTAGCGCATCGATAGCCGCCAGGGTGATGCTGCTGCTGCTGACACAGGACTATTGGTATTCGCAACGTTACACTTTTTCTTCTTATAATAATTATTATTCAACAAAAAAACATTCTCGCGTTGCTTTTGCTCGCTTGGTTCGCTGTGATTAAGAACGAGAGCGGGGGGGGGGGGGGGGGGGACTGCACGCTCGAGAGGGAGAGACGGACAGAGAGAGAGACAGAGGCGAGCAGAGAAGAGAGAGAGCGCAGAGAATTGGAGACGGCGGTTGGGTGGTGGTCGTGATGATGGTGGTGATGGTGGCTACTTGGCCAGGGTTGAAGCTGATAGCCCCCCCCACCCCCCGTGTGTGTGTGCGTCTCTCTCTCGCTCGCTCGCTCGCTCCCTCTCTGTCCGCGAGCCGCGTGACGCACTGATGTGCGATCAATTCCCTGAGAGCCGAGCTCTTATTGCAGCTCGATGATACGAGGCACGTGACGCCTCGCGCAACGCGCGCGCGCGACCAATGGTGAGCGCGATAGGCGACCCGACCGCGTAATGATGCCCTCGTGTATGCATGCATGCACGCACGTGTATATATATGTACACAAAGACAAAGAACACCCGTGTAGGCTTTTATCAGACCTTTGGGGGGGGGGGGCAAGTGTTGTTAGCGAGCACCTATGAAGGTCATTCCCCGACACAAGACGCGCGTGTGCGCGTCTTGTGTCGGGGAATGGTGGCGCAGTGGTTGGCGCGCTGCGATTGCATTCATCCCGACCAAAACCTGAGTTCAATTGCCGGCCGGCGGACATCACGGGTGTGGTGGCAAGCGGTATCTGATTATGTTTATTGTTAGTTGTCGGAGGGGGTTGGCATTCCCCTAGATTGACTCAGCCTCAAATTAGTAGTACACGGTTGTGGTACGTGCGTGCTTGTGTGTTTGGGGAGCGGTGGTGTAGCGGTTAGCGCGCTGCGCTATGAACCCGGCGACACATGGACCTCCCCTAGGTCGACTCAGCCTATAATTAGTACCTGGTGCGATGTGTAAACATCGCCACTAGGGAGAAAAAGGCGGCCGGGCGTGGTGCTGGCCACCCACCCCCTCGTGTGCCGTGCCGGCCGTCATAGGTGCTCGCTAACAGCACTTGCCCCAACAGTCTGTTAAGGCTATACGTCGGATCGTTATCTTTGTGTGGGGGGTGCGCAGGCTATACGGGGGATCTTTGTGTATAGCGTACAATTACTTAACACAGATGTGAGTTCGTCCTTGATTAGATTTGAGAAGAAACGAATTCTCGCACTTTCAGTATCGCATTCTCAATTTCTGCGGCCACTATGCATACATGGACATACGTGCGCACACATTAAACATGCTTTGTGCGTTCGTACGCACACGCTCGTGCATGTTACATATTTTAGTATATTGGGAGCGGTAATGTAGTGGTTATAGCGCACCGCGCTACGAATCCGACGTCGTGAATACCATTCCCGCTCACGGCCAACATCGGTGGCGAATATTGTAACCGGTCCTAGTTCTCCCCTGGGTCGGCTCAGTCGTAAATGAGTACCTTCTAGCATCAGGCGACCAGGCGTGGTTGCTGGTCACAGAGCCCCTCGCGTGCCGTTCCGGACTTGGTAGGTGCAGCTCGCCAACAGCACTTGCCCCAACAGCCTGTGTAGACTATACGGGGGGGGGGGGGGGGTCTTTGTGTTTGTTGCGTGGTGTCGGCCACCCACTCCCTCGTGGGCAGTGCCGGCCTTCATAGGTGCTCGCTAACAGCACTTGCCCCAATAAGCTGTGTAGGCTATACGGGGGGATCTTTGTATCGTATATATATTTTAAAATACAGTTAATGAATGGCATTGCTACAAAGTGCGTTTACATGTAAATACATGCCGCATTTTGTTTTACAAAGTCACCAGTATCAATGCCTTTAAAATCACAAAATGTCCATCATTAATTTACAGTGTAATCCCATAGTTATCTCTATATATACATAGTATATATATGCAGACAGGAATTATGTGGGTGTTGACATTGTATCGCTTCGCATTACGCGATGGGGGGGGGGTCTCACGTCGCATGAGCCCATGCAGATGACAGATTTCTATAAATCGCACACGGCAAGACACGTAACCCCCACCCCCTATAGCCATTCGCAGACTTTTGGGGCAACTGCTGTTAGCGAGCACCTATCAGCTCAGACGCAGAATGCGACGTAAACACGCAGACACATATATGTACACATGCATGAAACATACATACGCGGACACGCGAGCGCGCACACGCGTACACATATAAGTGTTCCCCACCGTATTGACCTATTAGCGAACAGTTATGAAGGTCGGCACGGCACGCGAGGAGTTGGGTGGCCAGCAACACGCCCCGACCGCCTTTGTCTCCCCTCGTGGTTACGTTTACACACCGCATCAAGTACACCCCTTTGAGGCTGAGTCGACCTAGGGGAGACCCAGGACCGGTTCAGATAATCGTCACCGGTGTTGGCCGTGAGCGGGAATCGAACTCGGATCGCCAGGTTCGTAGCGTGGTGCGCTAACCGCTACGCTACCGCTTCCCCATATACACATAGATACATCGACTATACACTCACACGCATTCATACATACACACACGCGCGCGTGCGTAAAGACAAACACATGCACACACGTAATTTTTCGAGTCAAAATAAAAATATGAATCGCACGAGATAGTCGGGAATCTAATATTTTTGCTTCATACCGTAATAGTGTTTTCGCTTATTCTGTAGAGGTACGGTTCACTCTGTTAAGGGGAAACGTTACGTACGCGTGAACGTACGCGTATCATCGCCGCCCGATACACAGACACGCTTAGACGTATTATGTGTACACGTGTGTATAGTGCGCATTATACATTGTATGCGCAGAGTAGTACAATGTAGTGTGCAATATGTGTCCGCATTGTACATTGTACATGCATGGAAGTGTACCGTGCGTTAAAACCGCATCATTCATTGTACATGCATAGTAGTACAAAGTATCATGGGTAACATCCACATCATGCATTGTACATGCATAGTTGTACAAAGTATCATGGGTAACATCCACATCATTCATTGTACATGCATAGTAGTACAAAGTATCATGGGTAACATCCACATCATGCATTGTACATGCATAGTTGTACAAAGTATCATGGGTAACATCCACATCATGCATTGTACATGCATAGTTGTACAAAGTATCATGGATAACATCCACATCATGCATTGTACATGCATGTTGTACAAAGTATCATGGATAACATCCACATCATGCATTGTACATGCATGTTGTACAAAGTATCATGGATAACATCCACATCATGCATTGTACATGCATGTTGTACAAAGTATCATGGATAACATCCACATCATGCATTGTACATGCATGTTGTACAAAGTATCATGCGTAAAGTTCGCAATATGAAGTTCAACACGTTCAATGGACATTGCACATGTACAGTAATGCAATGTATCACGCGTAAAGTCCGCATTGCACATGCAAGGTGGCACAATGTGGCATGCCTCAAGCGCGCAATGTTACATCGCAGCGCCCAAGAGCTTCTGTGGACACGAGCTTCACCTACCCCAAACCTTGAAGTTACGATTCGGGAGAGGGCCGTGCGAAGGAGCGTCTCCTTACACTCTATCTACCCACCGGCACATCGGCCCACACCGCCGCTCTCTGTACGCGCAAGAGTGTGAATGCCGTGGCGACGGAACACTCCACACACGCATTGCGAGTGGGGGGGGGGGGGGTCTGTAGCATGTGTTATAAAAGGGGCCCTAAATTCAACAACAACAACAACAAACACACGTAAATATTAAAACACGTACATGTTTTTTTACTTGCACAATAAAGTAATTGTATTTTTTTTTTTACATTCGCTATACGGCTCAGAAAATACGACAAATCGCTAAACCTTAAGCGCTCAGTCGTTCGTAAAAGTTGAAGGCGGCACAGTACTACAGTAATAGAGCAAGTGCAGCATCGCTGAATCGGAATTGAAAGCGTGAAAGCGTTTAGCGCGGGGCCCTTGCAAGTGCGGGGTGCCCCCCACTCCCACCACTCCCCCCGTAGCATTATGCGGCTACTTTTTTTGCGACTACGAAAATGCGGCACTTGCCGCTTATTGCGTTGCGTACGCCGTATTGCGTGCGCTCAATGTTCAACACTTGCCAAGTTGGCGTTTTGTGCACGTGGCACGCGCGTGTCGCGTCCCGTGGCCGCGCGTCGTTTGGCGAGACGACGCGAACTTCATGGTGCGCGTGAACTTGACGTCCGTGTAAGCCCGGGTGACTTTGGGCGAGGGATTTTATTTCGTGACCGGGTTTAAGATCGCCGCTGGCGCGACGCGCACTTTAAGTTGATGTTTTAATTTAGAACAAATATCGCACCCCACCCCCCACCCCCGCCCGCCCCACCGCTCTCTAATTATTGGCGTGCAACTGTTTACCATATTGGTGTAGAATGACGTAATGTTCTTCTTTGGTTCTTTCGGTAAAGTCACGTAGAATGAGCATAAAATTATAAATTGATACACGCGGCCGCTTGTGTTGTGGCCGAAACGTCGTGAGAATATTATTGTGTTATTTTATTTTATCAATTTATTGTTTTATTCTCATTCTACGTGACTTTACCGAAAGAACCAAAGAAGATGAATCCTTGCAGTCACGAAAGCTTTAAATTGACGTAATGTTGTTTTGTTTTCTTGTCAACTGTTAACACTAATTATTGGACTTGGGGGTGTAACACAAACAAATGTCAAATCGTTACAATTTCATATTTGCAATAACTGTGTTATTTCCTTATCTCTGTTTACAGGCAGTAGTCATTGTTGTTGTTTACATTCTCGGCCTACAAACTGACGGTTCACGACGATCATATTTGTATTATCACGCGGTACATTGGCAAAAACTTGCGCGCCTAAAGACGCATTCGAGCGTGCGTGGTGACGTCGACGCGCACGTCTGCGTGATGACGTCACCCCGTGTCCTCAACGCTGAGCCGGGTTCGTGCGTGGCGACGTCACTCCTGCCCCCCTCCACCCCGCCCACAATTCACTCCGGCCGCGTATCCCACGCGAAATGCTTGGGCAGTGCTCGGCTAAACCTCAACTTACAGCTTTCGTGACTGCGATCGAAACGTCGGAGGTTTTTTTGGGGGGTTATT